AAAGGGTGTACATATACCAATTAAAAGACAGACTGTCATAGTAGATAGAAAATCATGACCCAATGAGACACACAGAATAACAAGTAAGCTTTATATATAACAATGTAGGTGTTTTAAAGTAAGAGGAAAAACATACTCCTGCAAAAATTTGTTAAAGAGCAGATTATCAAAAGAGGTACCTTATCAAATGATAAAAGGGTCTACCAAGAAGGTACTATAATCCTAAATTATGTGATGAAACTATTGAACATTCAACACAGTAAGTAAAGAGTGACAGAACTAAAAAGAGACCAGACAAATTCACTGTTATAGTCACAGCATCCAAAACTTCTCCCTAAGCAATTGAAAACCAACTAAATCAGCAGTGATACAGAAGAACTCAAAGATACCATCTACAATGAGGATTAATCAGTATTTATAGGATACTCCATCCAAAATAGTAAACTACAAATTCTTTTCAAGAATCACAGAACATAGTCCAGTCTGTAAACAAACTAAATAAAACTTAAAAAGAACTGAAATTATGCAGAATGTGTTCTCTGTCCAAAATGGAATCAAATTAGAAATTAGTAACAAAGATGACACAAAAATTTTCAAATACTTGGATACTAAACAACTTCATTCATGGGTCAAAGAAGTCTCAAGGAAAATTTGAATAGGCAAACTGAATACAAAAAATACATAATATCAAAATTTGTAGGCCACAGCTAAACCAGTGACAGAAAAGAGAAAAAAAAGCTAAGACAAAATGCTACCTTCGGAAACTTAAGGAAAAAAGAATAAATGGAAAGTAAGTAGAAGGAAGAATACAATAAAGAACAAAACCTACTGAAACTAAACTTAGAAAAAGAGGTAATCAAAAACATAAAAAGATGGTTCTTTGAAAAAGTCAGTAAAATTGACAAAATTCTAAGGCTGACAGAGGGAAAAAAAAGAGAAAGACACAAACTACTAAAATCAGGAAGAAATTGAATAGCAACAAGGGAATACTGTGAACTGTACACTTGATAACTGAAAAAAGAGATCATTTAAATAGGTCTATAACAATTTAAACACTCTGAAATCTCCAGGCCCAGATTGTTTCACTGGAGAATTCTAGCAAACATATAAAGAAGAATTAACACCCATTCTACATAAATCTTGTCCAGGAAGTAGAAAATGAAAAGAACAATTTCTAACTCTTTTATGAGGCTAAAAATACCCTAACATAGACAAAATAGTACATGAAAATAAAATATGGACTATTATCCCTTACAATATAGATATAAAAAATAACACTTAACAAAAAGCTCTCAGCAAAAAAGGGGATGGGGGCAAGTTTCTCTACTTGATAAAAAACATTTCTCAAATGGGCCTCCCCGGTGGCGCAGCGGTTGAGCACTGGGTTGCGAAGCTGCCCGCGTCCTCTGTGGCGCCGGTTCGATCCCTAGCTGCTCCCCGGCCACTGGAGGAGGGTCCCACATGGCGCGCAGACCTCTCCTGCCGCCCGCTGCTCCCCTCAGCAGTGTATTTCAGTCCTTCTGCCTGCTCTGCTCCCCGCTCTGGCTCTGGTGAATTCTCCCACCCTCCCGCGCTTCTGACTGTACCCAGTGCATGTATAAACAAAAAAACAAACAAACAATAAATAAATAAAACATGCCTCTATTTTAAAAAAAAAAAAAAAAACATTTCTCAAATATCTATAGCTAACATTTACATAATGGTAAAGACTGAATACTTTCCTACTTAGCTCAGAAACATGGCAAAAATACTCTCATCATTCTTACTAAACAAACTACTGGAAATTCTAGCCAGTGGCATAATGCAAGAAAAGGCAAATAGATCAATAAGAAAACTTCCTGTTTATAGATATGATGGTCTATATAAGAAATTTCAATCTACAGGTAAAGAGAACAAATAAATTTACTAAGTTCAGATAAAAAGATACATATCAAAAATATTATATATAGAAAGGTCTGTATTTTAAAAATCTATTATATTTCTAAATACCAGTGAACACATGAAAACAAAAATTTAAAATACAATGTAATTCATAAATACTCAAAGGAAATGCCTATCATCCTTTCTTTGACAGGTTCTGACTGAAATTATAGATATATCTTCACACTTCTTTCAACAATGGTACCAACAACAACCATAATAGGCAATCTCTCTTTTTCACCATCCTTCTTTGTCTTCCATTGAAACCACACTTCTTCCTCAGTTTCCAGTAAACATTCAGAGGAAATGTTTAAGTATATCTCAAAAATCTCTCAAGTAGATTCTTTTGTCCTCAATTGAGAACACTGAAACTTCCCAACATATTATAAGAAAGGGTGAAGAACATGGACACAGATTGTAACTTTCAATCTTCCCAAAGGTTTATTTAGCCAGATTAAAAAAAAAAAAAAAAAAAAAAAAACCCTACACTAAACTTGGGGACTTTATTAATATAACAAGTTTTGATTCTCAAAATTACTATCAAACTAGATGTTGCAAAAGAAGAACCCTACTGCATCTCCCCATTCCCATAATCAACATCTCATCGAAATATGTTGGGTCTCTGCTTAAAAAAAAAAATACATAGTCAAGTGTAACTTTTTAAGAGAAAAGAAAAATGGATTCCAAATAAATTATTTCAAGTGAATCCCACTAAGTCCAAAGAAACAAACTCAAAATTTAGTTTAATGTTAATATTTAATAATTTAATTTAACCAAGTAAATGAACATACTATTAAGTACAACTTAATGAAACTACATTTCCAGTAATTCCTGCATAAAATTTTGAATTTTACTTTCAAATGAGCTTTATTACTAACTTTCACTATTTCCCTTATTATAGATCTTTGTTGAAGCCAAAATCATGCACTTACTATTATCTTTACTCTCTTCACACCTCTTTGTTTTTAAGTTGTATTGCTCTTTTTGCCAAGTATATCAGATCCATTTCAGTCTGTAAAACCGCTCTGAATCCTTCAAGGCTCCAGAGTGTGCTTTTGAGGGAAGGATCCTTAGACTACCTATCAGGAGCCTGAAGTTATAACACTATTTCAGTCACTTGTTAATTATCGAAAGTTTAGCATGCCATAATTTCCCTGGCTTTGTTACCTTACCTATATATAAAATAAAGAATTAAGCCAGGTGATTTCAATTATAAAAGATAACTGAGTTTGGGTTAGCTAGAAGAATTCTAGACTGAAAAAATGACCTTCACTTCACCCAAGATCATAGTAAAACTAACTCAGAAATATATCAAAGATGGGCCTCCCCTGGTGGCACAGGTGGTTGAGCGCAGCGCTATGAAGCTGTCTACAACCTCTGCAGCACCGGTTCGATCCCGGCCAGCAGGTGAGGGTACCACATGGCGTGGCAGACCTCTCCTGTCATGCCCACTGCTCCCCTCAGCAGTGTATTTCGTCAGTCTGCCTGTTCTATTCCCCACTCTGTCTTGGGTGAATCCTCTCACCCTCCGCGTATCTGGCCTGTACCCTGGTTCTTGTACAAACAAATAAATAAATCTTAAAAAAAAAAAAGAAATATATCAAAGAATGTCATGGGGTTGTTCTGTGCCATTTCCTTTTGTCTAGTAAACAGGATCACTAATACAGTTTCCAGAACAGTGAAGCTGAGGGAACCAGAGATGGTATAAAGACTCGGAGGATGACAAAATAGAACGTCTCATATTAATGAAATCAAGATCTATTTAGTAAGAATACTGTCACAAAACACAAACACACCCATGAGGAACCTGTAGATATCTGAAAAGCCCAACATCCATATAGAATCAAGTCTTATTTTGTAACTGGCTTCACAATTAAGTTTCCACAGTCTTTGAAAATAAGGAAATATTACATACTTTTTGTCTATTAACAGTTTTTGCTCTATATAGTCAATCACTGCCTTCACCTTCTTCACTAAACTCGTTGATTCTTCCTATTAGACATTCCCAATCTTTTGAATATTATAGAACTCATTAGGCTTTACCTACATCACATATCAGTTCCGTTATTAAGCATTAGTTAATGGAGAGATCCTTCTCCAGTTTCCCACTCTGACTGCAAGGAGTCTAGCAAAGACCAAGAGGTTCACCAAACTTTTGCTGAATAAATTATTAACATTGTATCTTACACAGTGTCTTATACTAATAATTATTTATTAGTAGAAATAAATATTGTACAAAGGCCTATAGCTAAGTTTTCAAAAACTAGATTGATTATATTGACTCTTACATTTCCCTCTTCATTTATATAACTAGATTCTACTGCTAAAAGGTGGCAAAGAAGAGTCAAGACTGGCTTGTTAGGTCAAGAAATTTGTTACTTGGCACCATAAGATAGGATAATGATTACTGGTGGTCATATGATGATTCTGTTCAGGCACAGCCTGCACTGAATTGTGAAGAATTCAGATTAAATTAATGTCAGTATATTTTAGCACTAGATATGTTGTGAGATGTAACATTTTTGAAAAACGACAAGGAAGGACAGAACTCATGGTTATTTCTACTTTTAGAAGAAGCCATTCTCGAACTATATCTAAAATATAAATTTTACTATCTATATTTTAATGCAGTTATATTTCCTAACAGCCTCAACACTTATTTGAATAATCATAATAGAAACAGATATGAAGTTTCAACAAAAATATATTTTCAGTGTCATATGCTGCTAAAAAGGAAAAATACATTTTGGACTTTGTTTCTTTGGAGGCATGGAGAAATACTACTCTCAAATGCATGTACCTACTTTCAAATGTATATAATGAGAAGACTAGGTATTCAAATAAAATGAGTTGTAGAATGGAATAGCTATTAAATGCACACTCAATTATAAAAGACACACAAGAGAAGCTTGAAAGCACATAAATACCTGAGAGACAAGAAAAATAAACTTACCTAAAAAAAAAATTTAACTGTCCTGGCAGATTCAAAATTATTAGAAATTAGAGTAAGAGTGGATCAAAATATCAAAATAATAAACAATAAATAACAATCAAAGAAATTCAGTGCATATGTTACTTACAGGAATTCTTCTCCAGGGTGTTTGGGTATATTTATCAGCATATGTGCATTTTTCCTCTTTAGATTTTTGGTGGCAGTTACACCGACTTGCCTGAACAAAATCACAAATATTTCTAATGATTAATTTTTACATAGACACATATTTATACCAATAAAGTAATAAGGGACACTCTTAGGAAGTACAAATAAAAAAAACAACAGAAAAGGCAAATATCAAGGCTTATTTAGTAGTCTGCCGTCTTCAACTGGGTTCTAGAGTCAGCCAGGAAGGCTAAATTTCTGAATCAAAATTATCCTTGGTAATTGCTTCTGTCTTCCATAAAACACACTACCTATGATTTTGTGTGTTTAAGTACATATAATATCAATTAATAGATGTTAAATATATATATAGCAATATACAATATATAATGACTATAATTGTAAATTTTTAAGTATTTCCCTAAACTATTATAGTCCCCACAGCACACAGTTTATTAAATTCACTTATGATAGGACCCTACTTGATATTAAATACCACCAGTTCACAAGTAAGGCGGTCTGTTTACATTTGTGGTGCTTTTTTTTTTTTTTCATTTTTTTAAATTTATATATATTTTACATCATTGTTTTTTTTTTAAAAGATTTATTTATTTATACAAGAACTGGGGTACAGGCCAGATGCGCAGGAGGGTGAGAGGATTCACCACAGACAGAGCAGGAAACAGAACAGGCAGAATGACGAAATACAATGCTGAGGGGAGCAGCGGGCGAGACAGGAGAGGTCTGCTGCACCATGTGGGATTCTCGCTGGCCGGCTGGGATCAAACCCACGCTGCAGAGGCTACGGACAGCTTCACAGTGCGGTGCTCAACCACCTGCGCCATCAGGGAGGCCCCATCATTGTTTATTTTTAAACAATGGTTGCTACCCCCACCCCAAGTATAGTTCCCATAGAATTTCCTTCACCAATTCACCAGGGCACCCTCTTATGGTGCTAGCTTTTAAAAGTATACATTTGTAGAGGTTTGAGCCCGGGAGCAAAACATAAAGATGTAAACCTAGTATATCTCAATAAACGTAATATGGACTAAAAAAACAAACAAAAAAAAAGAGTTACCATATGACCCAGTTATTACAGACCCAGATATAAACTCAAGAAACTGAAATCATGTCCATACAAACATCTGTACAAAAATATTCATAGCAGCATTATGCATAATAGCCAAAAACAGTGGAAATAATCCAAATGCCTATCAACAGAAGAATGGAATAAATAAAAATGTGGTATATCAAATAACAGCACTAACAACAAACTCTTCAATGATGCATTCACTTTACTGAACCAGAATATTCTGAGGCGTTATCTGCCCTTTGGTAAGATCAGGCTGATAATCACAGTTCACAAATTGATTCTCTACACATAATTTTACTCAAAGTATACTCATTTAGTCATTTATATAATGTAAAGTACCTATTATGTGAAACTTGGTCCCTCAAACATCGAATGTTTTTTTTAAAAAACATTGATAACAAATTGCCCTTGATGTGATATTGGTATACAACCATATTATTTGTTAAACAACTCCACTAGAGATAAATATATTTCCTTGTAGGAAAAGCTACATAACAAATTCTTGATAATTCCATCAAGTTAAAATGTGTTTCTACTTTAAAATATTAACCAATATTCTTAAGTTTTCTTAATTTCAATTGGATCATTATAATTTCCATATACAAAATGAAACCTAATTAAAAACAAAAACATCTGTAGTAGAGACATACTGTCCACTCCTAAATAATGGGACAGTCAATCACTGATACAAAATTCATTACATATATGTCAACTTTAAGAGTCTCCTGGAATTCACTGTAATGGAACTTAACTTTTAATACACATAGTAAGCACATGGAGAAAAGATAAAACATTTCTCTTAGTGCAATCACATTATCTATCCTGACTACTAATTCCAGAAATAGTTTCCTTTCTGTGTTCTACATGCTAACATATGAGTAATATCTGAATTTTCTGTAAGTTAGAAAACCTAGTTTTTAGATTTATATAAATGAACACTTAAAAATAGGGGCCATATTGGGACCTCCCAAGTGGTGCAGTGGTTGAGCGCTGGGTTGCGAAGCTGCCCACAGCCTCTGCAGAGCTGGTTCTATCCCCGGCTGCTTCCTGGCCACCAGAGGAAGGTCCCACATGTTGCGCAGACCTCTCCTGCCGCCCGCTGCTCCCCTCAGCAGTGTACTTCGGTCCTTCTGCCTGCTCTGCTCCCCGCTCTGGCTCTGGTGAATTCTCTCACCCTCCCGCGCTTCTGACTGTACCCAGTGCTTGTATAAATAAATAAATCTAAAAAAAAAAAGAAAAAAAGAAAGAAGAGAGCTGGGCTTGAGTCCAGATCTTTAAAAAAAAAAATAGGGGCCATATCTTTTTCCTGAAGTACATTAGATACAACTTCTTGAGTGCCACAGTAATTTTTTGCAAAATGTGAAGCTTGTTTAATTTCATAATGCTGTCATTTTCTTCTTCCTGAAAATTATCTGGATTGGCTGGGTCCGTGTTGTTAGCTTGAAATACAAATACTAGATATTGAAACTTTCCTTTTAAATTTTTATATTTAGTAGGTCCTCAGTTTTATTATGTTATTCATTTTTCAGTCTCAAAAGATTCCCTTATGTCCTTAATTATGTGATCCAGTTGCCCTTATATTGTTCATAAGATGAATCTCTATGATCTGACTAATGGCTCAAAGTTCAGTATACCATACCCTTTATATCTTGAGATTTCTTTAAATAATATTTTTTATTGCTGAATTGCTTTGATATACCAAAATGTGCTTTTGATGCCCCAACAGAAAATTTCTTTAGCTTTTTATAATTTTTATGCCACCATATTCTTGTTACCGTCACATTTTATATTACCCCAAAATTTGTAATTAAATTCAAGATATTGCACATATTGTTTTCATGAGACTACTGTAACAATTATAAAATTTTATTAAAAAGATTCAAACATGGATATGAGAGGTCACTCAACAGCATCCATGAGAAGAAACATTTTCTTAGAATACCCTTTACTCAAACAGACAGTCTAAGTCTGAACAGTTTCATTCTGTTCCCAGAGACAGAAAATACCCTACTCTCAACTGATCAGTACGCATTTCCTTAAACACACGCAAAGAAATATCCATCTGCATCAATAAAAAATGAATGCAAATTGATGAATTTCAAGCCCCCCAAACAGAGGCCACTGAAAATGAACCCACAAAGATTTTCTTCCTACCTTGAATATGTAATATTTAGAATGAGAGTTAAAAGACATACTTTAAGTGCATGTAACCTAAAAATAAAAACAACAGTGCAATTCTGAAAGTCAAAAATCAGGTTGAATTTCAATTCTGGTTAGTTTTATTTAAAAAAACAAGTATTTTCCGGTTTGAAAAACCTACACTTTGTATACTCCCCTATAATACTTACAAGTTGATGTTCTAATAGTTGAATTTTTTCATCTTTTTTCTTTATTTCTTCTTTAAGTTGTTTTATTTCATTTAATAAATCTTCATTCTGAAATTTTTTTAAAAATAAGATGAAGTATTTAACTTTATATAAAATACCCTAATGAGAAACATTCAATCAATGATAAAGACTCAGTTCAATTAAGGGAGAAATTCTTAAGTATCCCAGATACTAACCTATTTAGAAAACAAAAAATGTCTTTTGATCTTTTAAGAAGTCATAGTCTAATAGAGTCTGACATGTTACTAATAAATTGTAATAGCCGTGAAATCTAACATTCAGTAAATACTTATTAGGAGGCAAGAATTTAGTATCTTTAGGTATCTAAGCATTTTTACCTGACTACAAGACTGATATGAGTGCTATTACTCCCACTTTATGTCCTTATGTCCCAGAAAAGGAAACTAGGATTAGGTCTTATGTGAAATAAAACATTTACAAAATAGTGACTTCAGCTAGATTTCAATAGATGCATAAAAGCTGCCTGTATTCAGTAGGATGCCTTCTCATTTTAATGACAGTTTCTTTCACTGTACAGAAGATTTTTAATTGGATGTTGTCCCATTTATTTGTTTTTGCTTTTCTTTCCTTGCCCAAATATATCTTGGAGGCCAATGTTGGAAAGTGTTTTTGCCTATATTTTCTTCTATGTATTTTATTATGGTGGGTCTTAGATCTAAGTCTTTAATGTATTTTGAATTAATTTTTTTTGTATGGGTGAGATAGTATCTAGTTTCATTCTTTTGCATGTGGTTGGCAAGGGGCTACTATATCTAGGGTCTATGAAGAACTCATATATCTCAGCCAAAAGATTTCTTCAAAGAAGAAATAAAAATGGCCAATAAACACATGAACAAAATGCTCATCATCACTTGTCAGGCATGGTAATTCAAAATACAATGAGATACCAATCTCACACCTATGAGAACTGCCCAAATCAAAAAGTCCAGAAACACGTGTTGGCAAGGATGTGGAGAAAAAGGAATCCTTGCATAGAACTGGTAGGAATGTAGTCCAGCCCCTTAGGAAAACAGTGAGAAGGCTTCTCGAATTACTAAAAATAGATCACCATATAATCCAGTAATTCCACTCTCAGGTACCTATCCAAAAGAATGTAAAAACACTATTTGAAGGGATATATGCATGCCCAGTTTCACTACAGCATTATTATAACATCCAAGTTATGGAAGAACTTATGTGCCCAAAGACAGATGAGTAGATTAAAAAGATGTGGAATATATAAAATATAAAAAGTTGGTAGAAACCTATGTGAATATGATAAAGGATTTACATCTCAAGTATATTAAAAGTCTGTTCTAACATGTTAGATCTTTCTCTAGGACCCAACAAACATCCAGTTCTCACAAACATACATATAGTTGGCAAAATGTGTTAATTGACTTGTGAAGAAACACAAATTAAATTACTAAGTGTACTGTTTTATTAGTGAAAGCAATACTCAATGTGATTAATGAGAATTCAGAAAAAATTGGTAGTTCAGATATCACAAATTGATTTTTCTGGAAAAACATGATTGTTAATGAGAGTCATGAAATATTTGCATACTTTGATTCAGTTATCATACTCCTAGGAATCTATGCTAAATATGATCTTAAATGTGAAAATACCCACAAGAAGGTATCTGAAAGCTTACAAATTTACAATTGTCCAATAAGGAGACACATGAAAAATAAAAACAGAAACAAAAAAAAAAACTACATTTATAAATACAGAGAAAAGACTGGTAGACGCTAGAGCTGATGAGATGTATGTGGGGGGAGGTAAACAATAGTTGAAGATGGTCAAAATGAACAAATTTCTAATTATAAATAAGTCAGGGGGATGCAATGTACAGTATGGAAAATACAATTAATAATATCGTGTTGCTTACTTGAAAGTTGCTACGTGAATAGAATGAATTATGGGGTGCCATGGTAATGGAAGGAGTATAATAACACCTAAAGAGAGTTCCTATACCTCTACAATACAAACAACAATGCAAATGAATGTTACCACAATAAATTTTTAAAAAGTTCTTATAATTTTTATAACTATGTATAATGGATATTAACTTATTATGGTATCATTTCATAATATACACATATATTCAATCATTACATTGTATATTTGAGATTAATACAATGCTATATGTCAATTATATCTCAATATAAAAAAGCTTTCTTCAACTGAAAATAAACCTAAAGATGAAAGTTACAAAAAGATATTTCCAAACATTTACCAAAATTCACCTACATTCTATAATTTTGAACATGGAAAGAAAAATAATCTCACTTTTAGTATATCTCTTTAGTGTTGTCAATAGATATGAAAGGTACCTATTAATCATTTTAATTTTTATTGGCAATCATGTTTTTAAAATTTATTCATAATTATAAAATTTTTCAATAATAAAAAAAAAAGAATCTTGCACCAGTAGTGATAGAGGGACAAACTATTACCCAACTGATACATTCAAATGAAAGCATTACAGGGACGTCCTGTCCATTTTGACTTAATTTTAAAGTTAGAAAAATCTAAAAGCAAGTCTGTTTTACCCTCAATCCCCCGAAAACCTTCATATTTTAATACAAACATTATCAAATGTTTCAAAAGTTTTTGCTTACAATTTTAGTAATAAAATAATTTTGATCAATCAGCAGTACTAACAGTCATACCTTATATATTTGATCAACATCTTCTGGTTCTGGACTGGATGGCAATGATAGTTGGACATCATGGAGTGAACCACTTCCATCATGCTGTTAGAAAGCAGAGAAAAAGACATGAGATTAACACAGTTATCTTTGGGCATCTTGTTCAACCTGAATTTACTCCAGACCAAATGCTAGCATGGTCATGAGAGAACAGGAAATAAAATTTTAAAAAACTCCTTTTCATCTTTATGCACTAATACAAGAAAATGTGGAAGAAGAAAAAAGAGAGCTAGAGGAAGAACAATCTTTGGATATAGATAGCATATTATATGAGTGGATGAAGCAGAAAGCCATTGAAAAGTTTTAGAGTGGGAAAGGAATATTCAATTTGAATCAGCGTTTATTTAGTTGTGGTATTTTTAGTACAAAGGAGTCAGAAATAAAAACTCAACATGGTTTATGCCATGAAAATCATTTGATTAAAAATACTACACACACACACACACACACACACACATTTTATGTGATGTCTGAGGATAGGCAAGAATTATTTCTGTGCTAGAAATCAGAACAGTGACTGACTGACCCAGGAAAGGAATATTCAATATTCCCACTTGAATGCTGGAAATATTCTGTCTTGACTATATGGTGGTTACATGGACACATACATATGAAAAGTTCCAACTATCTACTTAATACTGTACATCTTAAGCACTTTACTGGATGTAAGCTATACTTCAATTTTTTTAAAGTTGGAAAACTTTTTACCCTTAAGCCAGTAAGGAAAGTGATAGGATGGTATTAAATCCTACCTCTTGCCAAACTGGTTTAGAAATAACCAACTAAGAATGGCATGTTCAATAATTCACAATCTCTAAAAAAGAGGAATCACTGGGCCTCCCCTGTGGCACAGCGGTTGAGCGCTGGGTTGCGAAGCTGCCCGCAGCCTCTGCAGCGCCGGTTCAATCCCCGGCTGCTCCCCGGCCACCGAAGGAGGGTCCCACATGGCTCACAGACCTCTCCTGCCGCCCGCTGCTCCCCTCAGCAGTGTACTTTGGTCCTTCTGCCTGCTCTGCTCCCCGCTCTGGCTCTGGTGAATATTCTCACCTTCCCGCACTTCTGACTGTACCCAGTGCTTGTATAAATAAATAAATAAATCTTAAAAAAATAATAATAACAAATAAAATAAAGTATTTCCTTAGCTTTATGCTTGGGATGAGAGTGAGACTGAACCTCAGGCCAACATAGTACAATTGTGGTGAAACACCTTATCTGTTCAAATGGAACTAAAACTTCCTTGGGATAGCCCCTAAATAAAAACTTTCAAGGAACACTACCACCATATTCTTTTTCAGTCACAGGTGTCCTGAAAGAAATCTCCCAGACCATGGCTTTGTCCTGCATTGAATCAAGAATGCTAAGATAGAAAACATAAGCATGTGGGTCATTTTCTTCTCTAATTATTGTACTTTATACCTATTAAAACAGACTCCCTAGGGATGAGGCCTAAGAACATGGATTTAGAAAAGTTCAACAGACAACAATGATTGAGAGTAAAGACTATGCATTTGCCAAATATCTAGCATAAATAAATTTTTATTGATTATGTCATATGGACAATACAATCATCAAAACAAACATCTATATCTTCCTGTTTGCTGCAAAGTTGCCCCAAGGACTGTGAGGTAACATAAACACATAGTATTTTGCTTGGACATGGGTATAGTTGTTGGAAGTAGGCAGAACAGGAAAAATACAACAAAATACAACATGAGCTTCAAGGTGAAGGAACAAAAAGGGAAGTGTAGAGAATCAGAAAATACCAAGAAGGTCATTAAGTACTAGGAGATCAGGACACGACTCCAGAAGTTTATACATAAATTTCCAGATTCTTCTATGAATAGCACTAGCTTAAATCTGATCCTAAACAGCCTACCTCATGAATTCTGAGAAATAAGCTAAGATATAAACTAAGACCATTGCCCAGGTTCCAAACTAGTCTCTAGAAGGTGTACACTCAAAATACATCTGATCTGAAAACAGAAATGACATTAAAATCAGAATCCAAAGGTGGCTCACTGGAACACAGGCTTGAACCCAAATGGATTGTAAGCATTGTCATAAAAATAAAAATCAACAGTACTCCATAAAACCTGAACAAGATAGTCTGGTAACACAATACTCTCATGCAGTCCAAAAATACTCTCAACATAAAAATACCAAGGAACAAGGCAACAGACCAAAAAGCCCAAACAATACAGATGTTGGTATTAACTGGAAGAGATTTTAAAATAGCTGTTATAAAAAATACAATATATGCAATAATATAGATAAATCCATTTATGTGACTGTCTTAAAAAAGCATAAATACAGAGGTATAAAACAGATCAGTGGTTGCCAGGAGTTAGAAATGGGTATAGGCATCAACTTAAAAAAAAAAAAAAAAAAAGGAATTGGTGGAGGGGAGCGGGTGGCAGTGAAGGGATGACTGTAATAGCTACACAACTGTATGCATTTGCCAAAGCTTACAAAACTGTAAAACTAAAAGGGTGATTTTACTGCATGTAAATTATACATCAACAGAACAGTACTAGGTTGAACGAATCTCACCTTAGAAATTAATGCCCATCCAGAACTTGTGAAAATGACCTCATTTGGAAACAGAATTGCTGCACATATAATTAAGTTGAGGTCACATTGTATTAGATGCCTATATTCAATATCACTAATACTCTTCTAGAGAGAAATTTTGAAACACAAATCCAGGGATGAGGGTCATGTGAAGATGGGAAACAGTAATTAGTGAGGCTTATAGTAAGTCAATGAATGCCCAGGACTGCCAGTAACCACTAGAATCTAGAGGGGCCAGGAACATTCCTCTCCTAGAGCTTTCAGAGAGAACATGGCCCTGACAACACCTTGGTTTTAGATCTCCAGCATCCAAGACTGAGAGAATAAATTTCTACTGTTACATACCACCTAGCTTGTAGTGCTTCACTATGGTGGCCCTAGAAAACCAATATATAAGACCTGATTATAAAAAAATAATAGGCAAATGAGAAGAAAGAGAAACACTAGATAAATCTCAACAAGCACAAGAAAAATAAATATTATTATAACACAAAAGGAAGGTAGAATTAAAAATGAAAAGCATTGATAAAAATAAAGAGACTTATTGGTAATCAGAGGAATGATCCAAGAAGATGTACCAATCCCAAACAAATTATATACCTAATAAAATAGGCTGGAGATACTTAAGGGAAAAAAAATGACAGTATTAAGAAGTAAAACTGAAAAATCTGTAATTATAGCAGGAAATTAACACTTTTTTCAAGAACTCACAGATCAGGAAAAAATTGAGTAAAAGTAAGATAAATAATGCAATTAGAAAGCTTAATATAATTAACATATTGCTCCTAAAATAAACAGATGATATATTCTATTTAAACAAACATATGACAGTCACAAAATGATCATGTTCTAGGCCAAGGGTTAATAAACTATAGACAGCTGCCAGTTTTATTATAATCCAAAAGCTGAGAATGATTTTTACATATTTAAATGGTTGCATTTTAAATTATTTTCTAGATATCTACATAACAGCCTCAATTTTGCTTATTGCCTGAAAAAGCTAAAATAATTACTATGTGGTACTCTCAGGAAAAGTTTTCCAACTGCTGTAGGTTGCAAAGGAAATATCAACACAATTCAAATTTATATCATAGATATCATTCATTATTATTAAAGAATTTGCTAAGATTAGATATAAATTAAAAATGAAAGTTCTATACACCAAATAATTTTGACATTTTAAAAAAATTCTATAAATTAAATTTTAATTATAGCCCAAGAAAATTGGGAGTTATTAATGTTTAAGCTATCACTACGCTTCAAAGAAAAAAAATTTTAACAATCTAGTTTAGATTTAGGAGATAAAGAGGGATGAAAAGTTATTTCATCAAAACACAAGTGCCTAAAGACTATAAACATAATCACCTACCGAATCAAATAATAAAGCCACTTCCCCCTCCAAATAACTTTGACACTAAGCAATGGTAATAACTCTGTTAAACCTCAACCAAGATGAAAAGTGCTTAGGTCACATTAGGAAGTATTTTGAGAAAAGCTTCTTAAGCAGTAGAGGCATTAAAAAAATCATAAAATGGAAAGAAAAGACACACAAAAAACTGAAGAAATAAACGTGCAATGCTCATGTTTCACAGTACATTTACGGGCCAGTGCTGGGCACTGTTCTAAGCATTTTGTGTTACGCATAGTTTATAAATACATATATGCAAAAGTAATACATAAAAATTACAACATACCAATGTCCAAAAAAGTAAATAATTAAAAGTTAGGTGTACAAGTATTTAAGTTTGCTTTACACTGAATGAAGTATCTCAGCAGTTTCTATGGGTTCTATTTAGGAGTTTTGAACTCTGATTGCAATTAACTTTAAGTTGTCATTAACAGTTTATTAAAGATTCAAAAAGATAAGCCATCCTCTATTCTAAGAGCATCAGAAGACAATTGTCAGGAAGCCACCTTTCATTTTCCGTTTTTGCCACAGCATAAAAGTAAATTTTTGTTATAATATTATAATTCTTACACTTACTAACTTGTTGGAAAATCCTATAACAAACTCCATCTTACCCATGTACTTATTCTATGAGATTGCAAAAACTGGGATTTTCCTATGAGCTCCAGAGCAGTTACAATGGACATGGATACTTATAATAACTAACAAAACTGCTTGGCAGCACTAACAAATCCATGCTGACAAGCATCATCAATGATGTCAACAAAGCTGCCTTGTGTTTCAGATATGCTACAACACAATCACAAGAGGCATCCTAGGAAAGGGAGTAGAGGAGAGGTTGATTTTTTTCTTTTTCTTTTCAAAAAGGCTTTTTGTTAAATACAAAGGGATTTGGGTGAGCAGTCACGTCATTTCACACAAGCTAGGATGGGCACAGAAAATAATTTTTGAGTAATGCTTTAATTCACTTAACGGGATTTAAAATCTAGTGATTCAAGCTACATTTGTGAGGATTTCAAAATCAATCTTATAAAGCCTGATTTTCAAAAAGTACTTCAAAGATGAGGTGATACTAATAAATGGCTGGGACAAAAAAACATTTTAAAGCAGAAAAAACTACCTTGCATTCAAATTGACTAAAACAATGTCACATACAGTGCTTTTCATAATATTTTAAGCAAATATTTATTTACAAATTTCTACTCTGTGAAATTTAAAAAATTAAACCTAAGTGACTCAGGATATCCTTTAGTGGGGAGGTGTAACTTAAAATCATTTCTTCTATTACAATTTTTCTACATTTAAAAAATATTCAGCTCTTCGAATCATTTGTTAATAGTATGAAACAAGAAACTAAATAACTGTCAATACTACTGAGTTTTTCCTCATTATTTATTTATTTATTTCTCTGTATTTATTTTTTCAGTATTTATTTAAAAATCCTGAGTCCAACTGTTTTTCAAATGTCAACACATTTCTGGATTTTCTATTTTCATCCATATTCTCTGTGCAATGCCTCAGGATTTTAGAACACAGCCCTGTCATCCTCTGCAGATAATTGCTCTCCTTTTGAGAAACAGCTTGTGGCCTCCTGTTGGGTCTTGGTAAAATTCTGGAATTCTAAAGGCTTGCTACCATAAGAAGCTAAAACTGAGGAAAGTAACCCAGAAGTCAAACTGTTTGTTCTTTCTCAATCATAATTTTAAACTAAACTTAACTAGTCTACAAAAGACATTTAAAACTAAAGATATCTATAATTTAAAATTAGTGTTTTATTCCTTCATTTCCTGCTGTTCATGTGAACTTACCTGTAATATTCAAACAATACTAAAATGCTCAAAGAAAGAAAAAACTGATGAATCAGAATACAAGTTCTATCATCAGCCAACCCTGTGTGTTTGCACATGACACATCACAGCTCAGTCTAGATTTTCTCAAAGGAAAAAAAAAAGGGGGAGGGAGAGAGAGAGAGAAGGCTGGGGAAGACTGAACTTAAAGGTTTCAAACAAAACTGAAATTATGAGACTATGATTATGTAAATAAAAACTGTTTCTTGTTTCCCACTTAGCTGAAATTATACTACTAGCCACTGATGACTGAATGCCTACAGAGTTTCAGTTATAGAGCATTCAATTTGTAACACTTAATTCTCTCAACAACTTTATAGTGTAGATACTATAAAAGTGAGGAAACAGATACAGAAACTGGCTTGCCAAATATCATACTCATAAATGCTGGTGACTATAATAAGCTCATCATATTAACGTCCTATATTTTATTTCCCCATAAAAAATTCTTTTTATAAGCATTATTTCTACAGAAATCTAAATAGACATTAAAAATCCAATTAACTTTGTTTAAAAAATAAAATCACTCCATTTCGCAATTAAAAACATCAGAGAGGGCCTCCCCGGTGGCGCAGCGGTTGAGCGCTGGGTTGCGAAGCTGCCCGCAGCCTCTGTGGCGCCGGTTCGATCCCCGGCTGCTCCCCGGCCACTGGAGGAGGGTCCCACATGGTGCGCAGACCTCTCCTGCCGCCCGCTGCTCCCCTCAGCAGTGTACTTCGGTCCTTCTGCCTGCTCTGCTCCCTGCTCTGGCTCTGGTGAATTCTCTCACCCTCCCACGCTTCTGACTGTACCCAGTGCTTGTATAAACAAAACAAACAAACAAATAAATAAATAAATAAATAAAGCATGCCTCTATAAAAAAAAAAAAATTAAAAAAAAAAAAATTAAAAAAAAAAAAAAAACATCAGAGTAAAAAATGTTCATTATGTGTTTACCTGATGCAGCAGACGTTTCAGTTTGAGTAACTGAGTTTTTACAGCAGTACAATCCTGGACCATGTGCCGGAGGGTCATCTCATCCAGCATCACTGTGTTTTCTGGCACATCTATAAACATCTTCTGAGCCTGGAAAAATGGCGTCCCTCCATAGCTTTCAAAATGACCCAAAGGAGATTCTCTATAAGGAGAGCCTCTGGAAGGCAAGGGAAGAAGGTGTAAGAAAAACACACGCAATATAATCTCAGAAAGAAATAATTGCAGTGATTATTCAATACATTTATCATTATCACAAATGTACTTACCTCAGATAATCTGTAGCCACCAAAAGGTCCAATCAGTTCTAGCTGTAATTAATACAATTATCTTCTGCACTCCCCCCATTTGTGTGTTTTATACAATGGCTGAATAAACCTTGTTAAGAACTAGAATAGAAACAAAAAAACACTGGGGGCAAACCTTCCCTGAAAAAAATTATATTTTCCTTTTTTGAAGTGATTCTCATCTCTTAGCTTTTGACTCTAATTGGCCTCTCAAAAGTCACTTTTTTTGAAAAAAGATTTATTTTATTTATTCAAGAACCGGGGTAAAAGCCAGATACGCGGGAGGGTGAGAGGAGTCACCAGAGACAGAGTGGGGAACAGAACAGGCAGACTGACAAAATACACTGCTGAGGGGAGCAGCGAGTGAGTCAGGAGAGGTCTGCTCACGATGTGGGTTGCTCCGAGACCAGTGGGGATCGCACTGGCACTGCAGAGGCTGCGGACAGTTTCACAGCAATGCTCAACTGCCTGCGCCACCAGGGAGGCCCCCCACATATTTTTTTAATCTCTTAGCTATGCTACCAACATTCATCCCTAGTTTGGACATACCCCTGGACTCCTATTTCTGGAGAATTCTAGCAAGACAATTAAAATAGATGAACTGTCATTCTTTTTTTATTTTTAACATTGTCGATAAATCATCTTTACCAATAAAGATTAAATAGGCTTTTTAAATGTCTTCCATATACCACATAATTCCCATTCTTAAATTACATTAAAATCAATTAAAAATCTAAGCTAAAAAGCTTAAACTTCCCTTTAATTTCATACAACTATACATGCTGAGTAACGGGGAACTAGGAATAATGTGATTCATGGATGCGTAAAATGGTTTTAACCAGAAGTCATAATTACACAATTTTTAAATTACTGTATTAGAATTACACATCATTCCAGTTGGTTCTCAAGACAAGAATGTAATATAGATGGAAAATCTCAATATTCAAATAACGTACTGAGAAAGTATTCTTTTCAATATAACAGCTATGTTAACACATCAGGATTAAATTTAAAGTCATATTTAATTTTCAAATGTCACAATGCATTAATTTTCAACCATGTTGAAAAAGCAGAAATATGGTCTCTACTGGATTTTCTAGTTTTTAACAAGTATTACCAAACCTCTAAATTCTCAAGTATTTCAGTATAAACTTGATTTTCACAAGATTGTTTTTCTCTGAATATTTCTCATACTTGATTTCAGATCTGATTTTTCTTTTAACAAAGAAAAAGATTTTAAGATCTTTTAAATAGTTCATCTATAGGCTATATGTTAATTTGTTCACATATAATTCTGCTTTATTTTTATTGGCTTAAACCTTAGTTGAACTATTAAATTTCAAATAATGGATCTAGATTAATTAGTATGAATCTGTCATCCATGACTGAAGTGATAGGTATTTTATACAGAGTGATCAAAGTGTTTAGCAGTCAAAAACTACCAAAATAGTAAGACAAAAATACAGGTTCACCTGGCAAATCGTAGAAGTGATAAGACCTGTGTTTTCAGAGGGGATTAAAAAAAAAGTTGACATACTTTGGGAACCTTTCCTAGTAGGAAAAAATTTCAGATGCACTGTAAAGTATGAACTCTGAATTTGACTGAAAGACTAAGATTTTCTAGGAAAAGAAAAGTAATGGCACAAAGTGCACGTCTTTCTTAAATGTAGTTTATGAAGCCCCCACATGGGAGCCTGAATCCCAATTTGTTCAATTCATCATTTAACACATCTGACTCCTCCGGACACAAGTTAATCCCCAGCCAAGTACATGAGACTGACAAAGCAAGATGCAATTTCCTCAACCTCTCTGTCCTATGGACCAATCTACCCATTCTGCTCTCCACTGCATACTTAAACTGGAGAACAGTAAGTACTCTACATCTAAACTTAGTTGGCATTTTATCACAGAAAGCTTCCTTAATCCCCCAAAGCAGGCTTTGGTACACTTCCATAAGTATCCTTATAGAGCCCTCCACTGAGCCCCATAATACTTTTCACAGGTATCGTGTTTCTTTGCCATCTATGGCAAATTATGAACTCCACGAAGATGTAATATAGATGGGAAATGTGTATTCTTCCCTTCGTATTAGAGACAGATGGGCTTTTGTTTTGTTGTTGTTGCTTTCACTAAACTGAGTAAAAAAGCATGATTTTTTAATCACTATATTTTTTACCACTAGATTTTTTTTAAGCTTCATCTCTAAGATTCTAAAATTCTTTAGTTGCAACATGGAAAGTACTATTTTAGAGTTGCAATCTGGAAGGAATCACATTAAAAACTCCCAGTTAATAAATTAAAATTTATTTTTTTATTTTACCAAGTTCGTAAATGAAAGAATAGAGAGAAAAGAGAATAAAGGAGACTGCCCTGCAGACCACTGCATGAGAATCATGTAAGGGATAAGGGTTTATATCAGTATGACATAAACATGGAAATATGGAATGAAAGTAACTAATGAATTTAAAAAATTTCAAAGGAAGAGTCAGTAAGTCTTGATCACTGACTGAACACAAAGAATTAGCATCGAGAAAGGACGTGGTCTTGAAAATCAGTTAGCTCTGGCCTAAGATTTAGTTTTAAATCCTGGCTGACAGTAACTGGCTTTTGAAAATACTTAGTATTTTTGGGTCACAATCTCTTTAACTTTCACTGTTCTCCAGTGGGTAACAAAGTTGATATGCCTTAGGTAGCATTTGAAACACTTTCATTATGAGATCCAAAACTAAACTTAGAGGGCCTCCCTGGTGGCACAAAGGGTTGAGACATAACCTATGAAGCTATTCTTAACCACTGCAGCACAAATTAGATCCCCAGCCGGCCAGGGAGCTACCCACATGGCATAGCAGACCTCTCCTGGCTCACCCCCTGCTCAGCAGTGTATTTCAGTTAGTCTGCCTGTTCTGTTCCCCACTCTGTCTCTGGTGAATCCTCTCACCGCCCCCCCTACCTCTGGCCTATACCTCAGTTCTTGGATGCATAAAATAAATCTTTAAAAAAAAAAACAAACTAAACTTACATCTTCTCCTAGTACTAAAATGCTACTTACTCCTGAAGCCTTTCCTGGTATCTTCAACGAGATAAGAACTAAGAAAAGTTAAAGCATTTGAAACAGTACCGGATATATAGTAAATACAAAAGGCCAATTTTTATTATATTACTATATAGGAAATATGAAAGGCCAATTTTTATTACATTACTATATAGTAAATATGAAAGGCCAATTTTTATTATATTACTATGTTACTATCAATAATTTCCAACTTCATATTGTAAAAACTTTCCAAATGAAATGTCTAAAAAGTACCATTAGTGCCATATACTGCTCACCTTTATCCCCCAACTTAGTAAATGTTGACACATTGCTTGTTATCTGTGTATTTGTTGCTATATCCTCTGACAATGAAAGTTGGAAATAATGCAACATGTAACTGGAAGAATGTTTGAAATTTGCTAGAAAAATGAACACAACTGAGAAGGCTGAGAGTAGAAGACAAAGATGAAACAGAAACCAACTATATAAGAGGGTATTTTCAGAAAATAAAGGACACTACTAAGAGATAAAGATAATGGAAGATTTTGACATCACCTTTTGAGATGGTGCTGTTCACTCATGACAACCAGAACCTTCAAAACAAAATAGTGAGTGGTAACATCGCCTTCCAAGAGAGCAAACACAAACCCAAGACAAAGGTTCAAAGAACATAAAGAAAAATAAACATGAAACAAAAAAGGAATTATTGGACACAACACCTTGTAACGTGTTGACAGACATAAAATTGTAGTTGTGTACAAATGATAACAATCATGGCTTTCTACTAGAGAAATGAGATGCTGAAAGCAACACAATACTGAAGGTTACTTTGGGAATAAACTGGAAGGTTAGCAGTGTGTGAGCAAAGACAGAACCCAGGCAGTTGGGAGGAGTGTATGAACAACTGAAACAACATAGGTATCAGTGAAGCTAAAAATGTATTAAGAATAAGTATCAGAATACAAAAAAGAATTTAAAGTCTTTTCACAGACTTTAAATTTAATGCACATTTAAATTTAATGCACATACATTAGCAGCACTTGACATACAATCCACAAGCCTAATAATCACATTGTTACCTAATTACTCACCGCAGTTTTCATAATTACTCACTGAAGGTTTTTTGCACATGACATGCAAAATGATGAATCAGTCTCCTATGAATATCCTTAATAGCTTTAGCCCACATTTCATCATCTTATTCAAAAGAATAGCATTCAGACATTCTTAATTCACTACTTGAGAAGTTTAAACGATAACTGTTGAGGCTTATTTATCATTTATGACGTGGTAGGCAGTCTTCTAAGGTTCCTGAATATATCGTTTTATCATAATCTATTTTTTTTATTCTTGTAGTTTAAAGCAATCTCCCCAAATTATGTATTATGTGACTGTATCCATATACATATTATGTACTTATTATTGTCTACTATGCAGTGTAGACTGAATACTAACATGTATGATTATACACAAAATCTTAAGGTTTGCAATTCATCGGTTAGATTGGTGAAAGGCAGAGGAAAGAAAAAGAGATTTTTCATTTTCATTTATTTCCCAATCTGGGTCACAGTTTGACTTCACAACACCGTCAATGTTTCTTTTCTCACCATTAATAAAAACTGTATATAAAAATTAAATATATGTATTTTTATGTTCACAGATTATATATTTTTTAAATGTCAGATTCAACAATCTCAATCAAAATACCAGCAAGTTATCCTTGGATAGCAACAAAATGATTCTGAAGTTTATATGAACAAGCAAGAGTCACAATAACCAACACAACATTGAAGATGATTAAATCAGAACACTGACACTATGTTCCAGACTTACCATATA